GAGAGAGGCCTGGGACAGATTCTCCCTAAGAGGCTCCAGAGGGACCCAGACCTGCCCATACCTTGATTTCCGACTTCCGGCCTCCAGAACTGTGACAGAATCAATCCCTGCTGTTGGAGCCCCCCAGCCCATAATACTTTTATTATAGATGCCTCAGGAAACTCGCACATCCGTGTGTCTCTCTGGGGCTTGGTTTCCTCATCTTGAAAATGGGCAAAGCTGCCATCAGAGTTTAGAGATAGATGATGGATGAAAATCACGAAGCCTAAACCCTGACACCCAGTGCGCCCGAGGCATGAGTTAGCTAATTATTCCTCTTACTAGAAAACGATTCTTGGGGCCAGGCGCGGTGGCTCACACCTGTAATCACAGCACTTTGGGAGGCCGAAGCAGACGGATTACTTCAGGAGTTCCAGACCAGCCTGGCCACCATGGTGAAACCGTTCTCTACTAAAAATACAAAAATTAGCCAGGTGTGGTGGCGCGCACCTGTAGTCCCAGCTACTCGGGAGGCTGAGGCACGAGAATCACTTAAACCCAGGAGGTGGAGGTTGCAGCGAGCCGAGATCATGCAACTGCACTCCAGCATGGGCAACAGAGCGAGATCCTGTCTCATAAAAAGAAAAAAATGACTCCCAGGTTAGCAGAGAACAGATGGAACTCATGGATAATATCTAAAGCTCAGTGGCTGCAAGGAACAGGGATTACTTCTTATGGGAAGAACTCAAAGACAGCGGTTCTAGTCCCAGTGGGTGGTTCTGTCCCATACCTCTCTACTCAATGAACTGTCTGGTTGTCACACCTGCAGGCTGGGGAGTGCTCCTGGCTTCTGGTGGGTAGAGGCCAGGATGCTGTTCAATGCCGTTCAATGCACAGGACGACTCCCTCCCACAGAGAACGATCTGGCCATGAATGTCAGCAGAGCCCAGGTTGAGAAATCCAGTTCTAAGTGAAGACAATCGTATCCCTTTGCAAAGAGTCGCCCCAGGAAGCACGTTTATTGCCATGACGTGGATTTGGCTCAAGTCTGTTTTGGAAGCCGGCGTGGGCACTACCCTCGAGCGGCTTAGAACCGCTGGAGAAAACCGGCCTCGCCGGCCCCTGCTGCTGAGGCCCCAAGCAGGGCGGCCTGGCAGGACCAGGGGTCTGACTCACAGAGGGTGACTAATGGCCGTCAAAGGCATCCTGGAGACTGTGCAGGCGTGGAGGCTGGAAGGAGCTTTGCTGGCATCCGGGGAAGAATTACCAGCCCCCAGGATGATCGAGGATCTGGGGCAGCCCTCAGGGACCCAGGCACCAGATACCACCAAGTGGGACTTGACGGGGGCTGCTGTGGGCTGACTTGTGCCCCCTGCCCCCAAAATTACATCTGCATCCTCACCCCCGGAACCTGTGGATGTGGCCTTATTTGGAAATAGGATCTTTGCAGAGGCAGTTAGGTAGGATGAGGTCACACGGGAGTAGGATGGGCCCTATGTCCCATGAGTGGCGTCCTTGTTTTAAGAAAGCCACGTGAAGACACGGACACGCAGGAAGAACACCCCTGACGACAGAGGCAGAGACTGACGCAATGTGGCCACAGGCCAGGGTACATCTGCAGCCCCCAGACAAGCTGGAGGGGGCCTGAAGTGTCCTCCCCCAGAACTGGGAGCGAGTGCGGCCCAGAGGATGCCTCCAGGACCAGGACAGATTCAATTGCTGTTGCTGGAGATGCCTTGCCCCTAACACTCTGTTGTATAAGCAACAGGAAACTCATCCACGCCGTGGAGGGTCCTAGGGAGATGGCGCTGTGCAGGCAGCAGTGTGGTGGGGAGGACATGGACTCTGAACTGAGGCTTTGGTGGCAATCCTGCCTCCTGGCTGTGCCACGTTGAGACCTTGGGGCTGGGCATGCTAATTCTGCAGGGCTCAGGTGTTCACCCACCTGCCTGGTCCAATTTGGCAAAATGCTTGACATGATACATGTCGGATCTACCCTCTTGCTCATTCACCTACTACATTTTTTTTGTTATTTATTTATTTTTTGAGACAGACTCTTGCTCTGTCACCCACACTGGAGAACCATGGTGCAATCTCGGCTCACTGCAACCTCCGCCTCCTGGGTTCAAGCGATTCTCCTGCCTCAGCCTCCCAAGAAGCTGGGATTACAGGAGTGTGTCACCACACCCGGCTAGTTTTTGTATTTTTAGTAGAGACGGGGTTACACCATGTTGGCCAGGCTGGTCTCGAACTCCTGACCTCACGATCCACCCACCTCGTCCTCCCAAAGTGCTGAGATTACAGGTGTGAGCCACTGCACCTGGCCTGTTATTTTTTTGAGGCAGAGTCTTGCTGTGTCACCCGGGCTGGAGTGCAGCTCACTGCAGTCTTGAACTCCAGGATTCATGGAATCCTCTCACTTCAACCTCCTGGGTAGCTAGGACCACAGACATGCACCACCATGCCTGGTTAATTTTTTGTTATTACTTTTTAAAATATCGAGACGAAGTTTCACTCTTGTTGCCCAGGCTGGAGTGCCATGGCACAATCTCGGTTCACTGCAACCTCTGCCTCCCAAGTTCAAGTCGTTCTCCTGCCTCAGCCTCCTGAGTTGCTGGGATTATAGGCGCCCATCACCACATCCAGCTAATTTTTGTATTTTTAGTAGAGACAGGGTTTCCCCATGTTGGCCAGACCGGTCTCAAACTCCTGACCTCCGGTGATCCCAGTACTTCCAAAGTACTAGGATTACAGGCATGGTGGCTCACGCCTGTAATCCCAGTACTTTGGAAGGCTGAGGTGGTGGATCATGAGGTCAGGAGATGGAGACCATCCTGGCTAACCAGGTGAAACCCTGTCTCTACTAAAAAGACAAAAAATGAGCCAGGCGTGATGGCACGTACCTGTTATCCCAGCGACTTGGGAGGCTGAGGTAGGAGAATTGCTTGAACCTGAGAGGTGGCGGTTGCAGTGAGCTGAGATTGCACCACTGAACTCTAGCCTGGGCAACAGAGCAAAAGTCCGTCTTGCAAAAAAAAAAAGAAAGAAAGAAAGAAAAAAAGGCAGACCGCACACTCATAAATGCAGACCCCTGAGGCCACACACTGCCCTGGCCCTCACCAGGTGGCTATAGTTGCATTGTTCTGAGACATGTGGATAGACCTCGTCCTAAAACCCTCAGAATGATGGGTGCTATGTGGTCACTTCTGCAGCCCTGTGGCCACAAGACTCACCCACAGCGGCACATTGAGGGCTCCCATAGGGTTTGGCTGATTAGAGCAATGAACAGCAGGTGGAGAGCATGAGAGCCTGGTTAGTCCCCTCTCTGCTGCCTCTACAGTGAAACGAGGTGGCCCCTCCCCTTGCCCACTCTGTGACAACGCCTCCCCATCCCCTTAACCCCCCGGCCTGCTGTGCACCTTGCGGGCTTGCTTCCACCCTGCCGGTCCCCCTAGAAATGCCCTGTGAAGCACTCCGCAAACTGGTTTGAATACCCTAGGCTTTTCTTTCAGGCACCTTAAGAACGAATGGCCACATTTTGGATTCCAAATGTGTATTAACGGTGACTTTTTTATTTTTTTGAGATGGAGTATTGGTCTGTCACCCAGGCTGGAGTGAAGCGATCTTGGCTCACTGCAACCTCCACCTCTCGGGTTCAAGTGATTCTCCTGCCTCATCCTCCCGAGTAGCTGGGATTATAGTACGCACCATTGTGCCCGGCTAATTTTTATATTTTTAGTGGAAACGAGGTTTCATCATATTGGCCAGGCTGGTCTCGAAGTCTGGACCTCAGGTGATCCACCTGCCTCAGCCTCCCAAAGCGTTGGGATTATAGGCATGAACCAGTGCGCCCGGTGACTGTATTTTCTATATTTTTGATGCTCTGACATCCAGGGCCTGGCTGACCCCAGAGAGATGGCCCTTCCCATTCCTAGATTGGCTCTAGCCAATTCCTACAGATGGTTCAGGACTTGCCTTCCGTATGCAAACCAACCAGTCCAGAGCCCATACCCCAGCCACCTCCTCTCCAGGGCTCTCACACTCTAGCCCACTATCCCCTACCCTTGTCACCCCAGGCCCTGGGACCTGACAACAAGGGGCAGCCCCTATGCCTCAGAGCCTGAAATAATTCAAACAAGCCAATCCTAAGCCAGCTTACTCTGCCTAGCACGTTCTGATGCATGAAAATCACAGTAGTTTCCTGCCTCTCCCGGCTCCCATTATCCCTCTCTCCCTCGGCCTCCTGATGAGTCTCAGTGCTTCCCCCTGTGGCCTTCCATGGTATTGCACCCTGCTCTTAGGGGAACTGTGAGTCACAAACTCTTTCCAAGGCCAGTTGCCTCCCGACCAGTCGGCCTTGCCCTGCATGAATAATGACGACAATCAGAAAACTTCCACTTGTTCTCTCTTTAGAGACGGGGTCTCTCTCTGTTGCCCAGGCTGGAGTGCAGTGGTGTGATCATAGCTCACTGCAGCCTTGAACTTGTGGGCTCCAGTGATCCTCCTGCCTTAGCCTCTCCAATAGCTGGGACAACAAATGTGTGCCACTGCACTTGGCTAATCCTCGCATTTTTTTTTTTTTTGTGGTAGAGAGGGGTCCTTGCTATGTAGTCCAGGCTGATGTTGAACTCCTGGGCTCAAGTGCCTGAAATTCCTTTTTTTTCTTTTTGAGACGGAGTCTCTCTCTGTCATGCAGACTAGAGTGCAGTGGCATGATCATGGCTCACTGTAGCCTCCAACTCCTGTGCTCAAGTGATCCTCCTGCCTCAGCCTCCTGAGTAGCTGGGACTACAGGTGAGCACTACTGTGCCTGCCTAGCTAATCTTTTTTTTTTTTTTTTGTAGAGAGAGGGTCTTGCTATGTTGCCCAGGCTGATCTTGAACTCCTGGGCTCAAGCAATCCTCCCGCCTCAGCCTCCCAAAGCATTGCGATTACAGACGCAAGCCACCGTGCTTTGGCTTGAAACCCGCATTTTCCAAAGAAAGGCCCCCTCCCATAGACGGACCCGCCTCCCTGCTCACCTCCAGCACGGGGCCGGCACCCAGGATGGTCCTCTCGACGCCACTGGCATAGCCCTTCTGGCTGAGGGCGGTGAGGCAGTGGATGAGGAAGTTGGTGCTCTGGGTCTTGCCCGAGCCGCTCTCGCCCGAGATCACGATGCACTGGTTCACGCGCTTCCTGAGCATGGTGTAGTAGGCCACGTCGGCCAGCGCAAAGACGTGCGGCTCCAGCTTGCCCAGCTGCTGGTTCTCGTACATCTTCACGTACTTGGGGTTGTAGATGGGCAGGAACTTAAAGGGGTTGATGGCCACCAGGATGCTCCCTGCGTACGTGTAGATCTTCTGTTGCAGGAAGCGGTGCTTGAGGTTCTTCAGGAGGTTGGCCTCGGTCAGCTCGGGGAGGTTACACAGGTCATCAAAGTCCGCCTGCTGCCGCGGCAGGAGGCCACGCTCCACCAGGCGCCGGGTGGCCGTGGCTTGCGCCACCAGCTGCATGTGCACGTACTTGATGGTCCCGTCCGCGTTGCGCTCCTGCAGCAGGAAGTAGTAGCCATCCTCCTGCGGGTGCTCATCCTGTGCCCGCCGGGGCCACAGCAGCACCCGGTGCACGGGTGAGTCGTTGGCGTCCAGCACCCACTCCTCGCCGCCCGACTCTTTCACCTCCACCAGCACGTAGCATTTGGTGCCGTCCAGTCGCAGGCTGGCGATGGCGTCCTTGATGACGTCCGAGGTGGTGCTGTCCTTGGTGGCGGTCACGCGGCACGAGGCCTGGCTCTCGGTGGTGGACAGCTGGGGGTAGATGTGCAGGTGGTAGGCCGCCTGCTCCCGGCGGCCCGAGCTGCCTGCCTCTTTCACACTCATCCTGCCAGCCGCCTGGCTTCAGCATGCCTCCCGGGCTCGGGGCGCGCGTGTCCTGCAGCTGGAAGGGAGGTCAGAGTCAGGCAAGGTCAGAGTGGTGGGGGCAAGTTTAAGGGGCATGCGGTGTTCCGCTCCTGGACAGACAGCACCTGGCCCGAGGCTGCAGTTCCCTACCCGACTAGACTCTCCCAGAAAGCCAGGGGCAACCAGTCACGGCATCCCATGAGGGTCTGTTTGTCTTTTAATATGACCTCTGGCTGCAGGCAGTGGCTCACGCTTATAATTCCAACACTTTGGGAGGCCAAGGTGGGAGGATGGCTTGAGGCCAGGAGTTTGAGACCAGCCTGGGGAACATAGCGAGACCCGATCTCTACAAAAAATAAAAAAATTAGCCAGGCGTGGTGGTGCTCGCCTGTGGTCCCAGCTCCCTGGGAGGCTGCTTGAGCCCAGGAGATCGAGGCTGCAGTGAGCTGTGATTACACCACTGTGCTCCAGCCTGGGTGACAGAGAGAGACCCTGTCACTTAAAAAAAAAAAATTGGCCGGGCGCTATGGCTCATGCCTGTAATCCCAGCACTTTGGGAGGCCAAGGCAGGTGGATCATGAGGTCAAGAGATCGAGACCATCCTGGCCAACACAGTGAAACCCCATCTCTACTAAAAATACAAAAATTAGCCAGGCGTGGTGGTGCATGCCTGTAGTCCCATTTGCTCAGGAGGCTGAGGCAAGAGAATCACTTGAACCTGGGAGGCAGAGGTTGCCGTGAGCCGTGATCACGCCATTGCACTCCAGCCTGGGCAACAAAAATGAAATTCTGTCTCAAAAAAAAAAAAAAAAAAGAAATCTCTGATAGTGGCTTTTATAAGTGCTATCATCAGACAACCCCCTAGACCTGACCCTTCCCCTGAGTTTGCTCCATCCCAGCCCCCGTCCCACCCCATCCAGAGGCAGCCTGTCAACTCTGAAACCCAACAGCCACGACCCTCTTTCTGCTATGCTCTTCCCAGCCCACATCCTTCCTGACCTTGTCTCTGAATAAACCTCCCCAGCAGCTCCCCAAGCAGATAAAGACTCAGCCCCACAGGCCTTGGCCATGCACCAGTAGCAGCGAGAGGCTTGTGGGGATAAGCAAGACTGAACCTGCCCCGAAACTTGGGATTCCCGAAACTCCAGGGTCCTCAAAACCCAACCTAGGAAGATAAAGTCCAGGAAAGCCATGAAAAACGCACTCAGAAGAACACCTTAAAGTGCATTTACTTCTGAAGCCACAACTCCGGTCTACTGGGGAGAAGAACCCCAGGCCCAGACTGGGGGCATCCTGCAGGAATATGGCTGGTGCGCTCAAGATTGCCAAGGTCATGGGCAACAAGGAAAGACTGAGGAGCTAGCTGTCCAAGACCACAGGATTGAACAGAAGAACTAGTGACACCAAAAGTACACCAGGAGGGTATTAAGTGGCAATGTACCAATACAAATTTCTTTTCTTTTTTTCCTTAGACTCTTGCGCTGTCACCCGGACTGGAGTGCGGTGGTGTGACCTCGGCTCACTACAACCTCTGCTGCCTGGGTTCAATCAATTCTCCTGCCTCAGCCTCCTGAGTAGCTGGGATTATAGGCATGCACCCACCACATTCGGCTAATTTTTATATTTTTTTAGCAGAGACGGGTTTTCACCATGTTGGCCAGGCTGGTCTCAAACCCCTGACCTCAGGTGATCTGGCCACCTCAACCTCCCAAAGTGCTGGGATGACAGGGGTGAGCCACCGCACCCAGCCTGCGAAGTATAGGTTTCTTACATGCACATATTGTGTAGTGGTAAAGTCTGGACATTGTTTTTTTTTTTTTTTTTTTTTTTTTTGAGATGGAGTCTCGCTCTGTCACCCAGGCTGGTGCGATCCTGGCTCACTGTAACCTTGGCCTCCCAGTTCAAGCGATTCTCCTGCCTCAGATTCCTGAGTAGCTGGGATTACAGGCACGCGCCACCATGCCCAGCTAATTTTTTTTGTCATTTTAGTAGAGATGGGGTTTCACCATGTTGGTCAGGCTGATCTTGATCTGACCTCGTGATCTGCCCACTTGGGCCTCCCAAAGTGCTGGGATTACAGGCATGAGCCACTGCACCCAGCTTCTTCTTTCTTTCAAATAGAGACAAGAGTCTCATTATGTTGGCCAGGCAGTCTTGAACTCCTAAACTCAAACGATCCTCCCATCTTGGCCTCCCAAAGTGCTAGGATTACAGGAGTGAGCCACTGTAATCCTATTGGATTTGGCCAATTTGGGCTTTTAGGATACACGTTGCCTGAATAGTGAACACCGTACTCAATGGGAAATTTTTCCGCCTTCACCCACCTCCCCGCCTCCCCTTCTGCAGTCTCCAATGTCCATTCCACTCCATATGTCCACGTATATACATTGTTTAGCTCTACAAAATTCACCCTCTTCCCTTTTTTTTTTTTTTTAACAGACAGGGTCACCCAGTTTATTCTTTCATTTTTTTGTTAGGGTCTTGCTTTACTGCCTAGGCTGGGGTACAGCAGCATGATCAAGGCTCACTGCAGTGCCGTGGTGCACTCTCTGCTCACTACAACCTCTGCTGTCCGGGTTCGAGCAATTTTCCTGCCTCAGCCTCCCAAGTAGCTGGGACTATAGGTATGTGCCACCACACCTGGCTCAGGCGATCTCCCTGGGCTCAGGTGATCCTCCCACCTCTACCTCCCAAGTAGCAGGGACTATAGGTGCACACCACCATGCACGCCTGGCTAATAGTTTTGTATTTTCTGTAGAGATGGGGGTCTCACTATGTTGCCCAGGCTGGAGTCAAACTCCTGGGCTCAAACGATCCACCTGCCTAGGCCCCCAGAGTGCTGAGATTACAGGCATGAGCGACTGTGCCTAGCCAAGTTTATTCTTTAAAAAATGTGTTTGCTTCTCAAGGTTGCAAGAAAAAAAAATGCTGGTGCCGGCCCACCTGGGGGCTTGAAGCAAGAGCCAGAAATGTGGCGTGAGTCAACCAAGGACGGCTGAGGGTACGAGTTCGAGGCCAAAGCTAGGCAGGAGAGGCTGGTATGCTACCAGACCCGAGTGTAGACGTGACCCAGCGCAACAGTTAAAAGACACACAGCAGGAGTGATTATCCTGAAGGACCAGAGAACACGTTAGGGGAGTGACAATATCTAAGAGGGGTTCTGAGGCCAGGCGCGGTGGCTCAGGAGCCCCAGCTTCAGCTGAGTTCTTAGGGAGATATGAGCATCTGGTGGGATATTTAGAGAAAGCCCCCAGTGGCCGGGCGCGGTGGCTCACACTTGTAATCCCAGCACTTTGGGAGGCCAAGGCGGATGGATCACCTGAGGTTAGGAGTCCAAGACCAGCATGGCCTATATGGTGAAACCATGTTTCTACTAAAAATACAAAAATTATCTGGGCATGGTGGCAGGTGCCTGTAATCCTAGCGAAGGCTGAGGCACGAGAATCACTTGAACCTGGGAGGCAGAAGTTGCAGTGAGCCCAGATCATGCCACTGCATTCTGGCCTGAGCACCAGAGCGAGACTCCATCTCAAAAAAAAAAAAAGAGGGTTTCTGAAGGATGAAGAGGAGTTTGTTCACCAAGTGGGTAAAATAAAGTTTTATTGGAAGGCAGCCCTGCCCACTCATTTCCTAATTGCCTGTAGCTGCTTTTGCTACAATAGCAGAGTGGAATAGTTCAGGCAGAGACTGTAATATTATAGCCTGGAAAACCTAAAATATTTACTATCCAGCCCTTCAAAGAAAAGGTTTGCTGACCTCTGCCTAAAGAGAAGCATGACTCGCACTGTGACTTCGTAGGTTCATGGCCACCAGAGGCTGAGATAACTCGGGCTCTGGGAATTCCTGCAGAAGTGTTAAACGCATGCTTATAAGGCCAAGGTAATGTTCACACGGGGATAGAGCGGCGACAGGGAAGAAGGTTGGGGGACGTGGAAGATTTAATTCTTAAAACTTTTCCCTGGCCAGACACAGTGGCTCACCCCTGTAATCCCAGCACTTTGGGAGGCTGAAGTGGGCAGATCACGAGGTCAGGAGTTCGAGACCAGCCTGGCCAATATGGTGAATCCCTGTCTCTACTAAAAATACAAAAATTAGCTCTGTGTGGTGGCGCACGCCTGTAGTCCCAGCTACTCAGGAGGCCAAGGCAGGAGAATTGCTTAAACCCTCCGGCTTCAGCCTCCTGAGTAGCTGGGATTACAGGTGCCTACCACCACACTTGGCTAATTTTTGTATTTTTAGTAGAGACAGGGTTTCACCATGTTGGCCAGGCTGGTCTCCAACTCCTGACCTCAAGTGATCTACCCACCTTGGCCTCCCAAAATGCTGGGATTTATAGCCATGAGCCACTGTACCTGGTCAAGACTCTATTTCTTAAAAACAACAACAACAAACTATTTGAACAAGGCAGCTCATCCACTTTTTAATTGTTTGACACAGGGTTTCATTCTGTCATTCAGGCTGGAATGCAGAGGCATGATCTCAGCTCATTGCAGCCTCGACCTCCCGGGCTCAGGTGATCTTCCTATCTTAGTCTCCTGAGTAGCTGAGACCACAGGCACGCACCACCACACCCAGCTAATTTTTGTATTTTTTTTGCTGAGACGAGGTTTGCCATGTTGCCCAGGCTGGTCTGGAACTCCACCCACCTTGGCCTCCCAAAGTGCTGGGACTACAGGCATGAACCACTGTGGCTGGCCCTCATCCACTTGAGAAAACACTTTAGCAGTTTATTTTATTTTTTTTATATTTTGAGTTGGTGTTTTGTTCTCGTTGCCCAGGCTGGAGTGCAATGGTGCGATCTCGGCTCACCGCAACCTCCACCTCCCAGGTTCAAGCAATTCTCCTGTCTCAGCCTCCTGAGTAGCTGGGATTACAGGTGTGCGCCACCATGTCCAGCTAATTTTGTATTGCTAGTAGAGATGGGGTTTCTCTATGTTGGTCAGGCTGGTCTCGAACTCCCAACCTCAGGTGACCTGCCCATCTTGACCTCCCAAAGTGCTGGGATTACAGGCATGAGCAACCGAACCCAGCCAGCAG